CAGGCTGTAATAAGCCCAACCCTCACTCTAAAATTAATTGTTCAACATTCAGGATTTTTTCATATGATTGTCAAGACACTAGGTACCCCAAATTAGAACTGCAATGGGAGTATTCGTGTCACAGAAATAAGCTCTAAATTAAGAAAATTCCTTTGAAGGAGAGAGAAAAATAGTTTATATCACTGGATGTGAGTAGATACAGAAGTATTTCTTTACTCTGGTTCATGTAAAAGTATTTCATTTTAATAATCTTGTCTGCTGAGAGTATTTAAAAGCAAAAAATCCACAAGATAATCACAGATTTTGATTTCTAAATTCCATTAATTACTAAATAAATAAATAAATAAAACCCTAAGATTCATGGAAAAATCACTGATTCCAAAGCTGTCTGGAGAAACAGAGCAGAAATATTCTGATTTAGAATATCTTAAATCAGAAAGCAAGAAAATACTTGGAAAATAAATGAAAAGGGCACAGAATACACTGTATGTTCCTATAATTTAGATACATGTCAGAGAATGCAAAAGACAAAGAGCAAACCCTAAGGAAGTCTGTGGAGTTTGAATGATAGAAGTGTATCAATACAGGATCCTGAACTGTGACAAATATAACTCTCTGGTGCTGGATATTAAGAGTGAAGCAGTGTATTCAATACTACATGGAGAACCTCTATGTTTTCAGCTCTACATTGTTATGGATGTATAATTTCTCAGAATAAACAGAATCTACTTTTTAAACAATCACAAGGAAAGGTGACAAGAATAATAGAGGACTCAAGAGCCTACATGAAAGGGGTTCTAGTGGACAAATAAGGGAGAAACTGAGCATCAAATAAAAATATTAAGAAAATAAGTTGAATAAAAATGCCATGCTATGAAAGAAATACTTGTTTATATCATCTTCAACATTGAACATCGCTCTAGGTGTGCTTCTAAAAAATTCCTCACACTACTGTATATAATATCCAAGCATGGCCTTTCTGCAACTTGGTAGAAATGCTCTTCTTTCTGAAAAACCTGCTGAACATTTCAAGAATAAACCTTCCCACTGAGTTTCCCCATTAGTAGACCAGGTAGCAACCTTGGTTACCTTTATGAGATTTCACATCTTTGGAATTCTGAGAATTTATCATAAGCTGAAGAAAATCCATCCGATGCTAGAAACAGAGTGATTTCAAAGATAGAATGTTAATTATAAAGTCAGAAA